ATGTGAATAGAGGAAAGGTAGAGAGAGAAAGAAAAAGATTAGATAAAAGATTTGCTTGTTGGATGGTTCATGGTTGCTTCTGGACCAATTGCAATAAATCTTTCCACACTCACTTATTGTATTAGGGAAAAGGGATAATTATTTAGGAGTGTCGGAGTATCATACGAAATTATTTATGTGGTGTTCTAAATCAATCACATAGTAAAAAAATTTACAAGTAAAACATACTGACTCACTTTTATTAGGAAATTAAAATACAAATGATAATCTACTTATGTGTTATAATTTTTCATTAATCAGAAATACCATCTAATAATTTTTCATGGAAAAGACTTTCCAGGCTTGCCACAAGTTATTGTTTGAAGTTTGTAATTTAGTGCCTTTGTAATTTGTGTTTTGGCTTGCTAAATTTCTTCTAAATTGCCTAATTGTTAGGTAAATAAATTAAATTTGAATCTATTTTAAAACTTGTCAATTTTTTGAGTTCTATTTGATAAACTTTAGATGCACACTTGATGATTGTACCAATCAAAAAAAAAAAAGAAAAAACTTGGTATGAATGAAACTTGGTTGGTATCGACTTAAAATATAATCAAATCAAACTTAAATACAATTTAAAACTTATTAAAATTTTAAATGTAGCTTAAACAATTGCTATTCAATTCAACTTGACTCGTTTCTTAGAGGGGAGAGTAAAGGAAACAGTCATGAATGCAACCATTACGAACCACACTTGTCCAAAAAAAAAAAATCACAAAACTGATTTACAGTACAGGCCAATTATAGTTTGGTTTAGCCAGTGTTTGAAATCATGGATTATAGGCTTAGAACCATGAGACTCAAAGGCAGCATTGAGAGGAGAAAAGAAATTCTGAAATTGGCTTAATTAAAAGTGCTTTTAGAATGAAGAAGAATTCTTAATCCCAAAAAGTTAAGGATTAAGTAAGGCTTAACTCTTTTTGCCACATCATGATCACTGTCAACAAAGCAACAATATTATTGTTACCAAATAAATAAATAAAATAAAATAGTAAAAATGAATATAAGAAGTAAAGAATATAAAAATCAAAACACACTATGATCCATATAGTAACTTTACTTTATGTGGTATCATATTTATAGAGAAAAAAGATTGAGAGGGATGGATAAACATGTTAGCATAGCCAATGCCTAGGTGTAGAATAGCATGAGTATTTTGTTTACTAGAAACATTTTTTTTTTTTTTTTTTGATAAGAGTTGTTTGGACTTATCCTGACAGAGTAAATCTCCTGTGACGTTGGCAAGCCCTAATGTCACGCACGAGGTAACTCTTGCGTGTGTTTGTCGGCAAAAGAAGTGGAGACAAGTAATCCGAATTAGAACCGCAAAATCCGGGATTCAAAGTGCATGGCATGAGCAACTATGCCCCCATATTGTTTTGTTTTGTTTTGTTTGGTTTGGTTTGGTTTGGTTTGTCCATCCTTTTTTTTCTCGACCATCCATCCACAGCCAAAAAAAAGATGCACAACACTTTATGTTATGTCCCTTTGCAACAACCCAAAAACAAAAGAAAAAGCAATTGTAAAAAAAGTTCATCACCACCATCCACAAAATGGCCTGAAAACAAAGCTAGATTAGGGGTGGAGAAATGGCCGGGTTGGATTTAGGTCGGGTCAACCTTATATAATAAAGAATTTTGTGTTTGTTGAAATTCGGTTTGACTTTAACATTGGTCCTCTATCTCTGCTCAAGTCCGATTTAAAAAATAATTATAAATTTTAAACTTATTCATCGAGCCATATGCTAAAAAAAAATAATAAATAATTCTATAATTAAATTCAATCACATAATTAAATAAATATTGACATTATTATAAATTGAAAGATTTTGTGAATAAATTAAATCATATATCACCATAAATATGAATTTTAATCAAATGAACAAAAATATAGTCCAAATTCCAAAAATATATATATATTAATATATAATAAATAAATAAATAATTAGCGGGCCTCGTCGGACTGAAAAAAAGATTGAATCAGACGGACGAACATGCCGATATCTACCTCTAAATATAGATCCTCTCAAAAGCCAAATAGTTGAAAGTAATAATAAAAAATCTATCTATAGACACGCCACGCCACACCACACCACACCAATTTGTGGCCCTATAAATTCCCTGGAGGAGAGAGAGAGTAGTGGTATCAAGTCATGGATTGAAATGTGGAAACATCTTTGTCATTCCTCATGTGATGGTTGTTTCTGAAAACTACACTCGAGTGCTCTTCCACTACCCCAAACAGTGCCTTCATTTTATAAAAATCGAAATGGGTATGAAAAAATAATAAAGGCATATTCTCTTCAGTTTAAAATTTAAACTCAAAGATATTGTTTGAATTTGTAGAATTTATCATGAGTTTAAGTTTGATAATTTAAATTATTCATTTATTATTTATTTTATATACACAAAAAATTAGATAAATTTAATAATTATAATCTATTGAAATTACTACATTTGTAATTAAAAAAATAAAATACACAAAATACCAACAAAATGAACTGTTCCAGTCTATATTTTGAACTAAAGGGGATCTCTGCCTCCTAATAATTCATCTGTCGTTTTTCAATAATAAAAAAAAAAAAAACTATATACAACACATATTTTGTACAACAGTGAATTGTTCAGATATTATATCACGAGTATTAATGAATTATATTGTTTCCAACTACAATTCTTAAATCAATTTAATCAAAAGATGATAGGGTTGAATTAACTACTATGGTGTCATTTAAAAATATGTTATTTTAGTAATTTTTAAATTTTTTGATTTTTTGACTAAAATACGAGAAAAAAAATTAGTTTAATTGGAATAATTTTTTGATTTTTTACAAAAAAAGATGTACAAAAAATAGAGAGAAAATGAAATTTTTGACTTTTTGATATATGTTATAGGATTTTAGTTTTTTTAGCAACTTTTTAACTTTTAAGCTGAAAGTGTTGCATGCTAAAAAAAGCCTATGTTTTGGTTTGGCCAGGGCTTTTTTAGTTGGCCTTTTTGAGTTGAGACTTTTTTAGTTTGAGATTAAAAAGTTTATTTGGGTTGACTTTTTTTTACTTTTTGGACTTTTGTGAGAAAAAAATGAAATGATTATGATTTGAATATGACATTTTGCCTTATTAACGTATTTAACATATTTTATATTTTTTTAGGCCTAACTTCTTTTCCCAAACGAAGCCCGAGTAAAAATAGCCAAAACTAATTTAATTAAGCCCTGTTTGGGAAGGACTATTTGGGCTAAAATAATCAATAAAGACAAAATAGGCTAAAGGGTGATTTTCTTTACACACCGTTAATACTCTCAATACATACCATTAATAGATTAAATTTATATTCCAATAATATCCTCCATTAAAATGACCATTAAAGACAATATGAAATGTATTCTATCTATTCAAAAAATTTATATATTAAAACACAAAATACTCTTCACAAACCATTATTCCTTTAGGATTTAGGATTTTAACATATAAACATTGTATTTCTTCATCGTCTTCGCTATTAACATATACTCATGATATCATTCATTATCAATTAGCTCGTTTCATTCTCTTCTTCCCTATACTTATTTTTCGAACTCAAAATATTATTGCCTTTAAATATTTAGGGTTTAAGAATATTGAAATCAATTAGTTTTGAATACTTGCACACCATGGGTGACACTGAAATAGTTGGTTTTGATATAAATATTGAAAATGTTGACTTGAACATTGACAAAGTTAGTTTATACTGTAGTTTTTTGATTTTTTATTTATCTCGTTCATAGGTTGGGAAAATGAGTTTATTCGTCGTACTCGGATAATCAGAATTGAACTCTTACACAATGTTCGATTATTTATATTTGAACAAAATAATTTTATTCAAATTATTAAGATTGACTAAATATTAAATGTTCATACATAAAAAAAACTGAACATTTTAAGTTAGTTCGGTTAAAATAAACTAAACTTTTATTCATTGCTCAGATATAAATTTTTGAACATATTAATGCCTTGTTTGGAAATATGCTATTTTAGTAACTTTTTTACTTTTTACGAAAAGATGTGCAAAAAAGTAGATAGAGTAATGTGATATTTATAGTGACTTTTTTTTTACTAAAACAAGGCCGAAGTTTGTTCAATTTTGTATTTATAAATATGACTAATTTGATGAATTTGAAACAACGACGAGAGACGAGAGTTCAAGACCGACAATGAAGGTCAATATCACGAATATGGAGGCCGAATGAAATACTCTGCCGGTAATTTGAAACGACGAGATGAGACACGACAAGAGTTCAATACCAATTATGGAGATCAACATTGGCGAAGATGGAGGCCGAATGAAATTGTCGCCAATAATAGAGATCAAGACCGACAAAGATGGTCTTTGTTCTAAAGATTGTGGGGTTTTTATTGTGTGTAGTGGTTAAGATGAAGAGTTTTTAGTGTGTGTTATTATGTGTATTCAAATAGTTAGTGGTGTGTTAATATAGAATTAGTAATGACAAGTTAAAGTGTAAACTAAGATTTCTTTAAACCTTAAAAATTATTTTGTGTGTATCAATGGTGTGTACTGAGAGTATTAGCTCTGTGTAAAGACGGCTTCATTTGGGGACAACATATTTTAGTAAAAAAAATTAAAAAAATCATTATAAATTATCACATCATTTTCTCTACTTTTTTAAATATTTTTTTTATAAAAAATTAAACAATTATTAAAATAACATTTTTTTTTTAAAAACAAAAAAAACTAATTAAAATAGTCAACCCCTCAAATGAGAGGTCAAAGCAAATAAAAGTGATTTGTTCCAAATATGGAGAGTCTTAGAATCTCAAATTTATCACTAAATCACATACATATCACATAATTTATATATCTATTCTAATAATTAATAATTCAAATAATAGTGATATAGTGTTCCTACATGTCCCAATGTCAAAAGTAGCTCTCTTTCCTCTCATTTTGTCTTTAAATAGGGTGGCATATGAGAGAGAGAGAGAGAGAGAGAGGGAGAGAAGTAAGAGAGAGAAGAGGAGATGGAGAACTCAAATGGGTGCCAAAAAACACTTAAGGATGTTTCACTTCAAGAACTAAGAGATAGGCTTGCAGAGTTTGCTAGGGTGAGGGGATGGGAACAGTACCACAGTCCTAGGAATCTCCTTTTGGCTCTGGTACGTTATGTACTCAAAAAATTTTTAATCTATACATTTTAAAAAAATACATAGCATAAATTTTAAAAATCGTTAAAGAAAGATCATATATATACATTAGACTATCCAGTCTTGTAATTTGTAAATTTTATGATTTAATTCGATCTTTTTTTAATTATGTGTGTAAATCATCTATAAAAATAAATTTAAATCATATATAAACACTAGACTATCCAGTCCTGTGATTTGCAAATTTTATGATTTAATCCAATCGTTTTTTAGTTATGTGTATAAATCATCTATAAAAATAAATTTAAATCTATTGGATAATCACACTCACATATTTAATCATACTTATTTTTGTAAAAAAATAAACAATAATTATGATTTTAACAATCTATTGTCTATTTCACTGGAAACAAATGTAATGAAATTATATAGCTACGAACCCATATAAAACTAGAAAAATGCTTGGATTAAATTATCAAAATCGACTCTACTATAAAGAAGCTAGTTCCATATATATATATACACACACATGCAATAAATAGGACCACGTTTGGTGTAAAATTAAAATTTTGAATTGAATTGAGCAGGTGGGAGAGGTGGGAGAACTCTCAGAGATATTCCAGTGGAAGGGAGAAGTGGCTAGGGGACTACCCAACTGGAGCCCTAGTGACAAAGAGCACCTAGAGGAAGAACTCTCTGATGTTTTACTCTATCTAGTTCAACTTGCTGATGTTTGTGGCCTTGATCTTGGCCAAGCTGCTCTAACCAAGATAGTCAAGAATGCTAAAAAATACCCTATTAATAACTAGGAACTTTCCTACCTAGTTTCATATGTAATCATGTATTAGACCCTTTGTGGGTATGGTCTTTTTTTTGTATCAAACCTTTGATCTTCAAGTTTGAGTTAGAAAGTTTTTTATTTATGCATTTGTGAGCTAGTGAATGTTGTGAGCGAAGTTTCGGAGAAACTGTTTCTCCTTTGTTATAGCTAAGGATCATCTATCCCTTCTGTTTTATGTCATCTAGTTTGAAATTTTCTTATTATCAGTCTTTTAGACTTGATTATGTAGTAGAAAAATAATTTGAAGCGAGAAACAGATAAATAGGACAGAAGATTTCTGTTTTATTATTATCAAAGCATCTTTGTTTTTTGAATTGTATCATTATTCTTCCTCTTTGTCCTTATGGCAACCAAGGTAATCATGATAAAGAGTTCTTAGCTAGAAAAGCCCCCCATGCATAGGTTAGAGGCATTTAGGCTCATAATGCAAAGAACTCCTTTAATGCTCAATGTTAACAACTGAAAAAAAAATCCTATAATGTGATTCATTACTTATGAACTAATCAATTCAACACAATTTTTAAATTAGACAATAATTTAAATCATCTAATCAATTCAAAAGTAATTTAGATTATCTCTAAGCAATTAATAAATTCGATACACAGATTTAAAGTGAAAAAATATCACAATTCAACAACTCCAATTGTGATAAAAAAAAATCACGACACAAGAAAGGTGAACAAATCCACTAAGAAGAGAATAAGAATATTACAAGAGATTTCACCAAGCCCTACAACCTATGAATCCAGACAAGCACTTGGAGACTCTAGCACATCTTCATCGCCCACTTTTCATTGAGGATTATCCATGGTTGAGCTTGAATCCACAAACTCCAACACAATATGGATTTAACCAGTGGAATGCTCTTGAAAGGTTGATTCGATCCAAATCCCTTCATGTATGCAATTCAATCTATGTGAGGCGACACACTCACTAATTCATCAAGGGATAAACCAAAAAACTCTCTTCAGATGATAACTCAAGGTTTCTTAGGTTTGCAGTTTGAGATATGGATGAGGTAACCCTAAATTATACATCTGAGACTGTTTAAAACAAATAGGGTCGCGAAGACCGTTTCAATAGTGTGTCTATGAGGCGATTGTGACAATCTTGAACATCTATCACTTCGCTCGAGCGTTAGAGAGTATGCTCGAGTAGTGAATGAATCCTTCTAGTATCTCTGAACAAATCTAAACTACTGATTGACCAACATCTTCACTCGAGCGCAAACTCATTCGCTCAAGCGGTCCATGAACCAAGGCAGAGTCAAATCAACAACAATACAACTCAAATGTGTTTGTTCGGGGAATTGACTAACAAGGGACTTGATAGCAACTTAGTAGGAAAATTCTACTCCCTCACAAAACTTGTCAAGAAATTTACTAAAATTTAAAAAATGTAGTTGAAATCTAATTGAATTTGATGTATTATGGGGTAATACATAAAACAAATTTAGACCACACATTAATGTTTCACTAAAGCTACTGTCCCAGAAAATGAACAAATTTGCCTAGATTTCAAACGTGTGGTGGAGATTCAATGGGTATTTATGAAGCCCATATACAAAATGAATTTCAACTATTCATTGATATTTCTCGATAAAATTCTATATATTCTAGATTCATAGTACTGCTGTTAATATTTTTTGTTAAAATTCTAGGTATATGTAGAATTACTAAATAGTGAATGATGAAAGTAGAATTGACTTCCATTGTGTCATTTCATTTTTCAAAAGTGATAATGATCAATACCTGTAGTTACTTTTTCCTAATCTATAATTGAAGACATGATTAAACTGCATTTTTTGGAAATGATTTGCCCCTAATTGCTTCACCTACACTATGATTGAAGCTTCGAACACCTTTTAAGGCGTGGTTAAAGTTAAAGTTGGTTTGTTGCTCCTACATATAGAACAAGTTAGTAGTTATGGTTATTGATGGCCTTTCCTAATTAACTTCACGCTAATCATTTGCATTAACTTCTCATCTACAAACACGTCGACACTACTCACAAAAGAGGGACATATAGATTTCACAAATCTAATTCAATTTATGCTTGATTAGTAGGTAAGCCTATTCCAAGAACTTGTTAGAAACTAAACAATGGTGATATGAAGTAATTTGTTATCCAAATTATAGACTTAAATATGCAACATGCGTCGGAGGGTTTTTCCGGCCACACACCGCCGGGTAGCTCATCCTTATTGACTCGCAGGTGATCGGACATCGACGGAGCTCGGAAGAAAGGAATACGGGCACGCCGGAATATTTGCTCCCCGTACAGTACTAATAATTAATCAGTGGATATTACTATTCCACAATGAGTAATTAAGAACATCCAAAAATACTTTGACAATGATTTGATGTTACACATTATGATTAACAAACTTGAAATGAAATTTGGTTCCACAGAAGTGAAATCAGTTTTGATTGAGAGGTGGAAAAGAAATAGCAGAAAAAGAATAAATAAATAAATTCCCACAAAACCCTATTTAGATACTTGATGAATGTAAGCCCATAAAATGAATTAAACAACTCGAGTTTTCACTCTCAACTTGTCAAGGGTTCATTAAGGAGCTCCAAAAAGAATAATCAGTTCTTTAAAATTGGATACTTAGGACATAAGTTCAATTTTGAAATTTTTAGAGTCAAAATGACAATAACAATTTGAAACATCATGTTACCTATACCTAGTTGTCTATCCGTTCGTTGTCCACCTATCTATCCATATCACATGCCTGTCACGTGTCATCTATCTATCCACATCTCATCCCTTTATTTATTCACATGTTACCTATATGTCCATCTAATCTGCCCATTTAATTTGCTTATTTGTCCATATCACCACCACCACTAGTCGTTGCCGCTGCTGACTACTTCTAGCGATTTTTCTAACAACTTTTCCAAGCAAATGTTTCAACAACCAACCGACTACAGTCCAAGAGGTGATCCGACGGTCCAACGATAGTGGGTTAAAAATTTTAAAAATAATAAATTCTTCAAAATAATAATTTGTCTTTCTCACGAAACAATTTCATACCAAAACAAAATCATTTGACCTAGTATCATACACACCCAAAAAATGAATTTTCACCAATTTTCCTTTTAAGATATTAATGTTTCAATTCCCTCCCTCTCCCCCCCCCCAAAAAAAAAAAAATGATTTGATGTTACGCATTATGATTAACAAACTTGAAATGAAATTTGGTTCTACAGAATTGAAATCAGTTTTGATTGAGAGGTGGAAAAGAAATAGCAGAAAAAGAATAAATAAGTAAATTCCCACAAAACCCTATTTAGATACTTGATGAATGTAAGCCCATAAAATGAATGAAACAACTCGAATTTTCACTCTCAACTTGTCAAGGGTTCATTAAGGAGCTCCAAAAAGAATAATCTGTGCTTTAAAATTGGATAGTTAGGACATAAGTTCAATTTGGAAATTTTTAGAGTCAAAATGACAATAGCAATTTGAAACATCATATTACCTATACTTAGTTGTCTATCTGTTCACTGTCCACCTATCTATTTATATCACATGTCTGTCCATGTGTCATTTATCTATCTACATCTCATCTCCTTATTTATTCATATGTTACCTATATGTCCGTCTAATCTGCCCATCTAATTTGCTTATTTGTCCATATCACCACCACCACTAGTTGCTGCCGCTGCCGACTACCTCTAGTGATTTTTCTAACAACTTTTCGCGGCAAATATTCCGACAATCGGCCGACTGCAGTCCAAGAGGTGATCCGACGGTCCAACGACAGTGAGGTAAAAATTTTAAAAAATAATAAATTATTCAAAATAATAATTGGTCTTTCTCACTAAATAATTTCATTAATCATGTCTTTATCACCAAAACAAAATCATTTGACCTAGTATCATACACACCCAAAAAATGAAATTTCACCGATTTTCCTTTTAAAATATTAATGTTTCTATTTTACTCCCCCCCAAACGATTTGATGTTACGCATTATGATTAACAAACTTGAAATGAAATTTGGTTCCACAGAAGTGAAATCAGGTTTGATTGAGAGGTGGAAAAGAAATAGCAGAAAAAGAATAAATAAATAAATTCCCACGAAACCCTATTTAGATACTTGCTGAATGTAAGCCCATAAAATGAATTAAACAACTCGAGTTTTCACTCTCAACTTGTCAAGGGTTCATTAAGGAGCTTCAAAAAGAATAATCAGTACTTTAAAATTGGATACTTAGGACGTAAGTTCAATTTTGAAATTTTTAGAGTCAAAATGACAATAACAATTTGAAATATCATATTACTCATACCTAGTTGTCTATCTGTTCACTGTCCACTTGTTTGTCCACATCACATGTCTGTCCACGCGTCATCTATTTATTCCCATCTCATTCCCTTATTTATTTACATGTTACCCATCTGTCCATCTAATCTATCCATCTAATATGCTTATTTGTCCATATCACCACACCGCTAGTCGCTACCGCTGCTGACTACCTCTAGTGACTTTTCTATGAACTTTTCTAGGCAAATGTTCCGACAATAGGCCGACTGCAATCCAAGAGGTGGTCCGACAGTCCACGATAGTGGGGTAAAATTTTTAAGAAATAATAAATTCTTCAAAATAATAATTTGTCTTTCTCACTAAATAATTTCATTAATAATGTCTTTATCACCAAAACAAAATCATTAGACCTAGTATCATACACACCCAAAAAATGAATTTTCACCAATTTTCCTTTTAAAATATTAATGTTTCTATTTTACTCCTCCCCCTCCCCCTCCCCCCAAATGATTTGACGTTACACATTATGATTAACAAACTTGAAATGAAATTTGGTTCCACAGAAGTGAAATAAGTTTTGATTGAGAGGTGGAAAAGAAATAGCAGAAAAAGAATAAATAAATAAACTCCCACAAAACCCTATTTAGATACTTGATGAATTTAAGCCCATAAAATGAATTAAACAACTTGAGTTTTCACTCTCAACTTGTCAAGGGTTCATTAAGGAGCTCCAAAAAGAATAATCAGTACTTTAAAATTGGATACTTAGGACATAAGTTCAATTTTGAAATTTTTAGAGTCAAATTGACAGTAACAATTTGAAACATCATATTACCTATGCCTAGTTGTCTATATGTTCATTGTCCACCTATCTATCCATATCACATGTCTGTTCACGTGTCATCTATCTATCCACATCTCATCCCCTTATATATTTACATGTTACCTAACTGTTCATCTAATTTGCCCATCTAATTTGCTTATTTGTCCATATCACCACCACTACTAGTTGTTGC